TTTTGATACATGGCTTAAGTTAGGGCTATAAATGTGCCCATCATCTGAATTGTGTTCATTGTACCCATTAGGTAGATTTTAGCCCTTCCCTTCCTCCACCTTACCAGAATTCTGCCTCCTCCCCTCTTCCCACTTGATTTCCAGTGACTTTTACTTTCCTTTGTGTATTTGTTCACCCACTGGTAAGTTCCAGTTTATTACAGAGTACATGTGGTGTTTGTATTTCCATTCTTGAGATATTTTGCTTAGGAAAATGGTCTCCACTTCCTTCCAAATTGCTGAAAAAGGCATTTATTCATCCTTTCTTATGATTAAGCAGTACTCCATGGTCTGCATATACCACAGATTTTTAATCAACTCATGAACTGATGGGCACTAGGGTTTATTTGATTACTTGGTTTCTGAGCTATCCAGGGCCTTTTATTTCTTTTCATTTGATTCCTTTGGTCCATGTTTCTGTTGAAAATACTACTGCCAAATACTTGGCAGAAAAATTAGCAGAGAAAAAGAGGAAAAAAGTAAAAGAGGAATAAAATTAAGGAGAGGGAACTAGGACAAGAAGATATAATGCCTTTGATTTTTTTCCATTAGTATAAGTACTCAAGATTTAAGTGGCATACATGCATAGTTTCTGTAAATGCATACAACTTAAAAGTAGTAATCATCATATTCTCTAAGTAATTCCACACAGTGTTTATATATAAGCAAGTGTAATACATCACATATTTTATTTAATCAAAGTTTATATCAACATTTGACTTTCTAGGGTCCAACAGTCACCTGTTGTTACGTGGCTAAATTTTCTTTTATTCTTGGTCCTTTTCACATGTTTTGTAAAAAATTTATTTGGTTCTCTATGTTATGAAGTTTCATCCTACAAAATGTTATTACTCTCTATTGAGATTAAATGCCGTTAGTTATCTAAGAACCCTATTGGCCTACTGAAAAAAAATGTAAGGATTCCTTACTATTTTTGTTTTCTATCCAGTGGTGAATAAATGTTTTTGAATAGTCATATCTTCAGATTTTTTTTAAATGGTCATACCTTTTAAAATAAGCCTTAGACAGTTTTGTTAGTGAAATCTAGGAAGATGTGAACGTTTTACAAACTTTTTATTACTGGGAATGGTAATGCTCATGATGATACTATAATACTTTTTAAAATAATAATTTGTCTTTGTCCTTTTATTGTTTCACATTGGAAGCAGATGTGTAAGTAAATCTTTTCAGCTATTCTGTTATTTTTTTTCCTCAGTATTTTTGGTCACATCCAATTTAATGGTTCTGTATTACATTCTTTTTTCCTTCTAGAAAGTCAAATAAAGTCAACCACTTTATCCTTTCATAACTATAGCAACGTGAATGAAGATCTTAACATAAAGAAAGAAAGGATTTTAGGATACCCATCAAAAAATACATCATTGGAAGATGAAAGAAGTCAATTACATTCCAGGAAAAAACGTTTTTTATCATATCCAAGATATGTGGAAGTTATGGTTACAGCTGATGCTAAAATGGTTGATCATCATGGACAGAATTTGCAGCACTATGTACTAACGCTAATGTCAATTGTAAGTAAGCTTCACGTGGCTTTTGTGTTTCCTAAGATATTTTGGTTTAATATTCCTTTTACATTTAAATTCTAAAACTATTTTTCTAAACTCTAGATATAAGTAAATGGTATCTCAGGTCAAGCCCAAATAAATATTTTATTAAAATGTAGTTTGGATAGAGGTATAACAAGTATCCAATTCTTTTACTTGTCAACTTTCTAAAACACTTATAATCTCTGAAACCACTTATACATAATGCTTGAATTATTCTTTATCACATGGATGGCTCTGTCCTCTAGTGATAGGTAATATCCTAGTCCCACTGACCTTTTGTTTTTTGAATCTGAATTGTAAAAACTTGCCCATGTTCTTCTGTATAGAGAGGAGGGGATACTATTTTTATCACGGCTACATTTACCAAATCAGATATTTGGACCTATGATATTTTAAGTTATAAATATATTTAGGGGATACAGGGATAGGATATTATTATTATTTTTTTTTTTT